GAGTTAGTTAATTTTCAAAAGTTACAGAAAGACACTCGCTAAAGCTCGTGTATTTTGTAACTTTTGAAAATTAACAAACTCGAGTGAAATAAATACTATATTCAACAACCACTCGTTGTGTAACCTCTATATATCATATTGTTTACTTTTGTCTGGTTTCCTGTTTTCGCTATGAACATATATTGAGAGTGATATAACAAGAAGCGCCTGTCTGTCCTTTTCATTTGCTAAGATCGATATACAACAATAAGCAAAACCACTTTTACAATATAACAATAAACAAATCTTCTTTCATGCGCCTTTTAAACATATCTGTTAATACTGCGAAAACACTCGTCCACTGAGCGAAAATAGCCCGACGAACAGAAAGTAGTTTTTTGTCATGTGTATATATAGACCTAAAATCCTCGTAATATTATATCGTTACTTGGTACATGTTTTACACAAGGGAGGCGGGAACGCAGCAGTGCCCTGTGACAGACGACATGTCAAGTTTAATGTGGGTCTAGTGATGACACTGCAATGAGTGTCAGGCACGAATAGTTAGCACCAGTCTGTTCTACACAGCATACACCGCCATACCTGTATACTCTCGCCTCTGGTCCTCTCTCCACAGCCTACCCAGCCATATCTGTATACTCTCACCTCTGGTCCTCTCTACACAGCATACACCGCCATATCTGTATACTCTCGCCTCTGGTCCTCTCTACACAGCCTACACCGCCATATTCTTTATACTCTAATCTCTGATCCTCTCTGCACAGCCTACAACGCCTTATCCTGTATACTGTATAGTCTCTGGCCTTCTTTACAGAACCTACATCGCCATATCCTGTAAACTATCGTCTCAAGGCATCCCTACACAGCCTACAACGCCTCAATCTGTATACTCTAGTCTCTGGCCTTCTCTACAAAGCCTACACCGTCATAGCATGTTTACTCTCGTCTTTAGCCATCTCTTCCCAGCCTACACTGCCAAATCCTGTAATATATCATCTCTAGTCATCTCTACACAGCCTACACCGCCTTATGCTGTATACTCCTGTCTCTGGTCATATCTACACAGCCTACACCACCATATCCTATATACTCTAGTCTCTGGTCCTCTCTAAACAGCCTACCCCGCCATATCCTATATACTCTAGTCTCTGGTCCTCTCTAAACAGCATACAACGCCATATCCTGTTTACTGTAGTCTCTGGCCATCTCTTCATAGCCTACACCGCCATATACTGTATACGCTAGTATCTGGTTCTCTCTACACATCCTTCACCGCCATATGCTGTATACTCTAGTCTCTGGTCCTATCTACAAAGCCTACACCGCCCTTTTCTGTATACGCTTGTCTCTGGTCTTCTCTAGACAGCCCACACAGCCAAATCCTATATACTATTGTCTCTGTTCCTTAATACGCAGCCTACACCGCCATATTCTATATACTCTAGTCTCTGGTCCTTTCTTCAGAGCCTGCACCGTTTTTTTCTGTATACTCTATAGTCTCTGGCCTTCTTTACAGAACCTACACCGCCATATCCTGTATACTCTCGTCTCAAGGGATCCCTACACAGCCTACAATGCCTCAATCTGTATACTCAAGTCTCTGGCCTTCCCTACAAAGCCTACACCGCCATATCCTATATACTTTAGTCTCTGGTCCTCTCTAAACAGCCTACACCGCCATATCCTATATACTCTAGTCTCTGGTTCTCTCTAAACAGCCTACACCGCCATATCCTGTATACTCTAGTCTCTGGTCCTCTCTAAACAGCCTACACTGCCATATCCTATTTACTCTAGTTTCCGGTCCTCTCTACACAGCCTACACCGCCATATCCTGTATACTCTAGTTTTCGGTCCTCTCTACACAGCCTTCACCTCAATATCCAATATACTCTAGTTTCCGGTCCTCTCTAAACAGCCTACACAGCCATATCCTATATACTCTAGTCTCTGGTCCTCTCTACACAGCCTACACAGCCATATCCTGTATACTCTAGTTTCCGGTCCTCTCTACACAGCCTACACCGCCATATCCTGTATACTCTAGTTTCCGGTCCTCTCTACACAGCCCTCACCTCAATATCCAATATACTCTAGTTTCCAGTCCTCTCTACACAGCCTACACAGCCATATCCTATATACTCTATATAGTCTCTGGTCTTCTCTACGTACTATTCAGACCAAACCTTTTAGTGTTACATATCCTCTCTCACTGCCTTCAATAGACATGTTTTACCATATTCCGTAGTATTGTCCGCTGTATATCATTTTCCCTGCAAAGGTAACAGACCGTTAATGACACTATTATACCATGGTCGTCCTAGTCCTGAATAAGCTTAATAATACATAACTTAAGTGCAACAACGCATAAATGTTTTCATGCGAAAGTCATATTTTAAATATCACATCTGATGTTTAAGATTCGTATATGTTTAGGTATTAAAACATCTTCTTGAAGAGGTGGACAAGATTTAGGAAAGCATATGTATGTTATTGGATGTCTAAGAACATCGTGTAGGCCGGTTTGTAGGTGACTTACACAGGCATAACTTAGGTCAATTACACTCGTTACACAATTGGATATCTTAAGAAAAAAATATTCCATGAGCTTATGTGTTTATATAAGGCTAAATTTACCGTATATCTTTTCAGAACTGGTTAAAAAGTCTTCATCAAGACCTTCTCAATTCACGTTTGTTTTCTATCATAACTTTTCGTTCTTTTGACGGTATCATACCTGCTTTCCAAACTTAGGGTGATTACATGTTGCGATTGATTAATTATTTAAGAGCTTGCACCCAGTATCATTATTATCACGATAAATGTCAACTGTAGTCGGAAATAATGGCTGCAAAAGGTTTTAAGAGACGCAGACGATGGATTAAGACTATAGTCAAGTTATGAAGATCCCACTATGATCTCACTAGGATTTATTGTATTGCCTTTGGCGGAATAAAAGTAGATTTTGTTTGTTATGCCCATAGTGTGCCTTTTTGTTTTCTTGTCACTGCTGCAGTTCCTACATTGAGGACATGACATTACTTGCATTACATATGAACTTACGTGATGGACATAGTCGATGATCCAGACGACGCTTGCCCTTCTGAACACTAGGCCGTGTTCTTCTTGTATTTTGTAGATAGTATTCATGTACCTTTTTTGTTCAAATTTCTCCCCTTTCCTGTCGATTGTAAATTCGAGTAACAGTTTTGTTGACATTGCGATATTCTCATGTGCTTTATAAGAAATATTAGAATTGCCTTTTCTGCGATGTTTCGTCTTTTGTCCCTTTTTTATTTTGTGTTTAGGCGAATAAAACAAGAAAATAATCGCTACAGACGCAACAATTGGATCACCGCAATTTCAACACTCCAAAACCTAATTACACAAAGGTAAAACTACAGAATCGAGTAAAACCAAAGTCATGTGAAAACAAATGTTGAATGTAGTTCTGGATGGATATGAGAAGAACATTTAATACACTTCAAGGTTATTTCTTGTATCATTCAGCGACAGATTTTTGAAATTGATTTGTTAGGAGAAATCCATACAGATGATGTTTTACACCTGTGACGTGCACATATATCTGGTGTAATTGTGCATTACACGTAAAACAGATTTGATTGATATATTTTTCCAGAATTATCAGGGATGAAGTAGATTTTGGGAGTACTTTTGTGTTGATAAATTAACTTTTTAAAGTCATTTACTAATAACTTGGTTTTACCGGTTTCGTTCTATTCGATTGCTTAAAACATTTATGTTTCGTTTCAGTGAACTGAACAATCGGGCTAACTTTCGAATTGACAAATAACAACTGATGATGTGACGAAACAGATAAATGTTTTTAATTAATTTTGAAATATTTCAATTATCTGTTAGTTTTGGTTTTACTTTTTAATTCTTTGACAAATCCAGCAAATAGATTCTATCAGCAAGAGAAATATGACAGGCACGGTCAATATGGACTGGTTGTACATATATGCTAGCCTGTTTATCATAACTCTTGTTTTGTGTATTTCTATATTTCAACGTGACTTACTGTGTCTGCATTGATCAAGTGTTCTGAAGAAAGCATAAGCCGTATACTAAATTGTAACATCACACAGACGACTGTAATATTGTCATGTTGGTGAAATCATTTCGATTTGTGAGAGAAAAAAAACATAAAAAGACACTAGTGTGCTTAACTGTTTCAAAGAGGTTTTCTTTAAATAAACAAGGTTCATGCATATGAATCAACAAAATTGTATTATTATTTTAATCTTCATTGGGTAATTATACGTAGTAGGGGAAAATGTTGTAAAACAAGCTATTCTCACTTTCGATTATTTAGTCCAATGTCATATGTTTTCCAAGATGCGTTGTTTGAAAACAAATAGCGTTGCTGATTTTATTAAATACATCTGTTTAACAGTAGCCCCAGTTCTAGTAAGTGTATTTTCCTAATGACTGACTTTGATTTCCGATTGTATGTCTGCTGGATGGATGATATTACATTGATCTAATAATTGAATTAAATAATATTTTTTATTTCATCAATGTCTCGGGAAAAGCTTGATACTTAATTTTCAATGCGATTGTTTATTGAATTTCGCGTTTTAAAATAATTTGTTAATATAACATTTCTATAAGAGGTACTAACGAACATTGAACAGTATTACTATGCTATTTTCCAAGAACTAAGACAGTACTTTAAAGACAGTAGACAAGTTCAAAAATTCATTGATGATAGTGTTACGATATAACGATTGTTTTGCAGGAGTGACATTAGGGTTTTTGTGTCTATACCTGTGGTATTCTCATATTATCATGTTGTCACCCAAATTGACAATAACAAAGTCATAATTCGCATACCTTGTATGATAATATTCTATTATAACCTTCAAAGTAAGTACGGTGATGGATAAGACGACGCACCACTTGTTTTTTTATGCTTTTCCACACAGGTATGCCTGTATAGTCCCACTCAGTAACTGGCGTACACAGGTAACGAAATATATGATACACACGTGGACTGCTCGCATCCTGTCAGGGGCCCCTCTCGTGCCTGTGTTAATAACGGTCATAACAGAATGAAATTATATTTATACAAAACATGGCGACGAAGAACGTTTTAGGATGTCACGTTAATCGAGTTTCGTAATTCATTGTGGTTTTACGTGGTAAACTTCCGTATGTTTCTTGCTATCCCCCATTCTGGATCTTACCTGAGGTTGTTACCTGCAAGCTACGTATTTGTGTTAAGAGACGCAACACTATAGAAATAGATACCACAGCATGTCAAGGTGAACACACAAATAGGAGCCGTCAGGTGTAATAACGAAACGATCTTGTTTGGATATATTTCTTTACACGAATGATCTGCGGTCATTGTCCTTACTTCGGGATATAAGATTGAAAGATGGCGGGACTAAATAACATTTCATCAAAAAGGGATTTGTAGTGTTCTTCTACAGATATTTTTTTTGGATGGAGTGTGACATTTAATTTGTTACGCCATAGTAGTTGTCACGAGTTAAGACAGCATTTTGCCTCAGGTGCATAGACTGAAAGTGCGTTTACATTTTAAAACACAAAATTGTTCATAAACAAAAATGTTGTTTAGACATTTAGTAAATGTTGAATTCATGTCGATTTGAACGATATTCTGAAAGAAAAATGGAAAAGTGTAACAGTTTCAATTTTAACTCTTGTGATATGAATTATATCCTGCATCAAGGATCATAATACACAAAAGAGATTATCTGAGCTTGTGTTTAGCTAAAGTTACAAAGGATTCAACCACGATGGGAACTCCACATTGGGTGTCGATGTTTGATGATCCGCGAAAGTACCCAGACTCGCCATTCGTGTCGGACAGCTGTTTAAGCACCGTCCAGGAATCCCGGTGTGGCGAGTGGGTGCAAGATGTCCGGAGAATCTCCAAGGAAAGCCTCATGAGCAGGCCACTACCAGATATCCCAAAGCAGTCACCTATAATATCCCGGCACCGGAACCTCTCACCCGTCACTAGCTTCGACAACAAATGTTACCATGACAACCATAAAGAAATCCATCGGATGGTAAGTCAAAAGGTGATATCTCAACATAATTTAGATACTTTTTTATCATTTTTTACCACGTAAACATTGATAGGGGAGTTGTGTGTTTGAGTTATATTCCTGACGCCATCGAGAGACTGACTTGCAGTATAACCAGGAGGTAGACATAAATCTTTCTTTCACCAACATGTATGAAAACAAAGTATGTTTTCTCAGACACCCGGCCATTATGAGATGATGGAAATAATATCAATTTTCTGCCTGATGCCATGCTTGAAAAGAGATCATTTATTTTCAAATTATGAATTCAGATCCTTATCTGAATAGTGATATTTTAACATTAAGTGACACGTGAAATGCCATGCAAAATATGTTTGGTTTTAATAATCCCACACACCTGATGTTTACCTCGGATATTTCTATCTCTCACACACAAGGATGAGGTAAAAGTCGCATCACCTCATTAATGTATCGATATTTGAGTGTAGAAAAGCATGTTTTCCTAAGTGAGTCGTTTAGTGTTAGTTAATTTCGTCAGCAGAAGTGGTGTAGATATATGTTTAAATTATGCAAATCGGTTGACCCAACAGGACAATGCATTGGTTATTTGAATCGAACAACGTTCAACAACATTTTCTTTTAAGTGTCAGATAGCATTTACATTTATAATTCAACTAAAAGCAACTAAATTGCAACGTCGAATAAGGATAATAAAGATCAAAGGTTAAATTTAATTTGCAATTAAAATAAAGCAGTGTCTTAATTAATGGCTACGACACCATAGTAATGTCACGAAGACACACAAAATATGTCTTTTATAATGACATTGATGATCAAGTATAATAATTTATATATTAAAACTGCATAGAAAAGTCGTAAAGCAATGTAATAGCTCCGAGTCAAGTAAGTAAACAGACGATGACAATCATGTACAATATCAAGCAATGTCCTTTATTCTGTATGTTTCTTTGTTATTTATTTTCAAGAAGGAACAGTTTATAAACCGTCATCGCTTGTCAGAATTTCTCGTATTTATACAGTCGGGGCCCAGCTGTGACTATCAATATACCATGAGTTGAAACACCTGTTAAGCAAAGATATAATTTCATTTATGAATAATTTACATCACCGATAGTGATTTCGCACTGAAATTATAACGTCATTTCCCCCTTGTTTAAGTGTTACATAAATACAACTTTTAAAATAGTGTTTACCGAAATGGAAATATGCACAGCTGCATGTATGGAATCATATTACACACTTGAAACCTTCATAGGATTTTTTTTTTTAAAAACAAAGTATGCTGTGGTCAAAAACTAAATAAATAATGTTAAGGGTGCTTGCCTCATCCCGGGTTTTTTTAAATAAATATTTTCCGAGCATATTAATTATTGATTTTAGCTGTAGTACAACTGTTTGCTTCTGAATTGACAATTGTTTGGCATAGCATAACATATCATTAGGTAGCATAGCCTAGCATTGCATAGCATGAAATACACATTAATTTGTGAAACACCCTACAAGAAAAGTATTGTCCCTGCTGCATACATTACTTCAGTATTTCTTGTGACGACACAGTGATTCCGTGATTATAAAGTATAAAGCATGAATAAATAGTCTGGTTTGAAATGGTTTATACTTTGTGCAAAGTCTAAAAAATATCGATACCAAGTTTCCTGTCTTTTGTTTTCTGCTTTATTGTGTTATTTACGGTAGCGATGTTTTTGACTTTGTTATAAAATACCTTGTTATATTTTAACGTTTGTCATAATTATGTCCTAAATTTAATTTGCATCTTTTAGCTGATATCAAATGCAGATATTCACTGTTAATATATTAAGAATTATACCTATCATATGCACCTGTGCCACTAAGCTTTAATGTATTCAGTGCAATTTAGTAAAGACAGCGTACCGGGATTATCCAAAATCTAAATTGAATCTCCAAACCACCCCACCCTACCTATTTTACCAAATCCGTTATGGTTGATGCTCCATATCCTCAAACCTACGTATTTGTGTTGTCAAAACCACGTTAAGATAGGGTAAAATATGATAGGCAAGGTAACAAATGGAAAAATAAGCAATAAGACAGGGGTTTATTATATGATTAGAATTGATGATTTGAACATAAACACCAATCGCCTTTGAGTGACGAACGCAAAACATCACAGAAGCTTAACATCAAGACGCTGTCGTGTCTACACATTGTCATTGTTATATTAGCGCTCGCTGACTATGTTCCATTCCCTGACAGAATCGGTTTTTTTTTCATTACGTTATCTCGTGCAAAAACGAAATGACCTAAAGGCATACACTTTTCATAATTAAACATAAAATTAAGTATACAAGGACAAAAATCCTATTTTAATTATGTAGGTAAAAATGTACATTTGTAATGAGTAAAATGCCATGTGACATATCACATTGTTTTCCTGACCTGTCTGCAAGGATACGAGATGTTGTATTGCTGTCCTGTTAAATACCTACAGCTGTCTGTGGACTGAGTCAGGGAAAATGTATTTTTTGTTTAATAGGTAAAGTGTAACATGTGTAAGGCATAGTCTTCCGGTTCGATGACTTATTGGAGGCATAGAAAACAATGATATATGATAAACGAACGCAGCGCGCGCACACACACAGGTGATGGCAGCTTTAACAAGTTGGTAATAGAAACAGTATGCCAAAAAATAAATGGATTACACAGCATCATACTGTAGTCTCGTCAGCATCATACATACTGTAGTCTCGTCAGCATCATACTGTAGTCTCGTCAGCATCATACTGTAGTCTCGTCAGCATCATACTGTAGTCTCGTCAGCATCATACTGTAGTCTCGTCAGCATCATACTGTAGTCTCGTCAGCATCATACTGTAGTCTCGTCAGCATCATACTGTAGTCTCGTCAGCATCATACTGTAGTCTCGTCAGCATCATACTGTAGTCTCGTCAGCATCATACTGTAGTCTCGTCAGCATCATACTGTAGTTTCGTCCTTCTAGGACTCGTCGGTGATGGGAGGGGTTAACAAATTGTAAATCCAAATTGGTCTTGATCTAAACTATTGCTGAAACAGAATGAATTTCAGAATTACATAAAGAGCAGAATGAGAACATTAGGAACCATGCCACAACTCAAAAAAAGATAATTGTTGATTTCAATGTTACGGAAAACCTCGAGAACTAAGAAATTTGTTGATGCATTGACGCCCATCGAAGGACCCAGATAATTAAGACAACATACGTAGCCGTACTCTTACAATCACCGCTTTTATCTCTTAAAAATGAGTTGTTTCAGCCCGTTACTTGTGTTCCTAACAATTCGGATAAGAAAAATGTAATGTGTTGGGACAGTATCATTGATGATTCCTAAATATACGAAATTGTTATATGTTGTAGTGAATACTTCTGCATCTACTTACTAAAACATTGAATAGAGGCTTCATTATTTAGTACTAACAGTGATAATATTAGGTAAAGCGACAAAGCGAACATTGGTTCCTTCAGAGGAACCTACAAAGGTAATTACCTCTGTTAAGCCAACATGTATATAGGTTTACTCAGACTTTCTTATTTGTTTACAACTCCCATCCACATAGCATCGTGATGGATGTTTCACATGATTTTTAAACAAAATATATTTAAATTGTGAACAACATATCACAAATAAAAAAATATGTTATCACAATACAAAATGCAAATGTAGCAAGCAAGTGCCATTAAGATGAACAATGCCTCATCAATCAAGCGCTCCCTATGGACAGGCCAGCATCGGGTCCCCCTTACACTTCCATGTATGTCAGAATAAGTTTGTTACATCGCTCTGACGTACATTTTAATCACGATCCATGACATACTTCAGTATGTAAATGTCCATCACAACCTTCTCCATTAGTATAATTTACAAGAGAATATGGTTGCCATTGTTTTACCTGATGACCCTCTCAGTAATATGTAGTCCTTAACGGCGACAGGCCTGTCTCATTGATAGAGCCATCGGGAACAGTACTTCTTGTTGTACTTTGTACCAACCCTGATATCATATGAATACTATTTCGTAATAATGACATATAGTTCAGTATTATAAAATCCCCTACTATAATAAGATATAAAAAAAATCCCATTAATTATATTATTAATATACTATATTAGGTTAAGTTTAGACACTCTATTATACAAAATCTGTAAACTGAATCACAGATTAGAAAAAAACCGAAAAGCTTCATTGCAATGAATACTTCTATATACTGTATAACTTAATACCAATTACATTAGATACATACCACAATTGATACTTCTATATACTGTATAACTTAATACCAATTACATTAGATACATAACACAATGAATACTTCTATATACTGTATAACTTCATACCCATTACATTAGATACAAACCACAATTAATACATCTATATACTGTATAACTTAATACTAATTACATTAGATACAAACCACAATGAATACTTCTATATACTGTATAACTTCATACCCATTACATTAGATACACACCACAATTAATACTTCTATATACTGTATAACTTCATACCCATTACATTAGATACACACCACAATTAATACTTCTATATACTGTATAACTTAATACCCATTACATTAGATACACACCACAATTAATACTTCTATATATACTGTATAACTTAATACCGATTACATTAGATACAAACCACAATTAATACTTCTATATATACTGTATAACTTAATTCCAATTACATTAGATACAAACCACAATGAATACTTCTATATACTGTATAACTTAATCCCCATTACATTAGATACATACCACAATTAATACTTCTTTATATACTGTATAACTTAATACCAATTACAGTAGATACAAACCACAATTAATACTTCTATATACTGTATAACTTAATACCAATGACATTAGATACATACCACAATTAATACTTCTATATATACTGTATAACTTAATACCAATTACATTAGATACAAACCACAATTAATACTTCTATATACTGTATAACTTAATACCCATTACATTAGATACATACCACAATTAATACTTCTATATATTGTATAAATTAATACCAATTACATAAGATACAAACCACAACTTGGAGCATTCATTAGAAGGTAGTTTTTAAAAGTTGGTCTTTAAGACTTATTTCATTATTATTGACAAGAATATCTTAAACATTTTATTCCTTTTATTTAATACACATTTAATTTTGATGTTTCACGTTTAACAGAAAACCGTAGAAGACACAAATAAGCGAAGAAGAAGTAAGCGCCATAACAACGACACATCGCTGAGACGAGATACCAAAAATGATATGAGAGAAACGTCCGTGACCTTGACACTATCAGTTAAAAACAGCAGTAAAAAACATAAATACAGAGACGAATATGTTGGAATGAACAACGCGAACCATTCTGAGGTTTCGACTGTGTTAAATCATAAACCAGGACTCGGGGATTCTTATTTTCGTAAGGAATCTGAAAATTCTGGAACGGAACTTGTACGTGATTTATCCAGAAAAAAGAGGCGACGGAATGTGTGCATTATACCTATGTTAATAATGACTGTTTTGATAATAGGGGGACTTTTTACTGCCATAGCTGTTGTATTCCTACGTCCATTAGGTAAATCATCCAATTTAGTATCAAATATAACTATATAACGTTGCATTAATCAACATTTGTGATATGGTACTAACTTTGACCTTGATATCTAATCTTGAAAAGACTATTTATCAATGGTTTAACAGTTTTAACAGTTTATGATAGCAAAACAGCAGAAATGTTCTAAGAACAAAGCTTTGTTTGGAAGAGAATTTGCTTTTAAATTAAACTATTTAAAACATCAAATAATTTCTGCAGGTCAATAGGTTTCTTTACATTACCAATCATATTATACATCCAAACATTGAATTTATACAGTAAATTTGATCAATTGATTTAAAATGAAATTAAGAGCATTTTCTATTTGTAGAAGAAGAAGCAGAAACAGACGAATCAGGCTACAGTAAGTATGCCTAATTGATTTAACATATCAAGTGTGTGGGTAATAGATATATCAGATTCATTACGCTTCTTTGTTTTGATGATGTTACATGAAAGCTCTACATATATATCTACATGCATTATGTACTTAAAATATTACGGCAGTTCATATTTATCGTTGAAGTTTCCAAAATACATCCTTTGTGTTAGACCTTCCAATATAATCGTCTTTAATTCTAAAACAAATGTATTATGATCAGTGTCGTTGATGCACAAACTATTTCCATTTTGTTTTTCAAAAATGTTGCAAACATATTGCAGAGATATTTAGAATACCATAGTGCATATGTTGTACTAAACATTTAATACCTTCATGCTACACAATGCTAATAATAATAAATTACATAAATGACCGGTATTATGCTTAACCATATATCGTTGACACATTAAATTATTACTGAACATGATATTGTCTACACAATGATAACATAACTAAACATTATCTAGTCCAAAACTATGCATACAATACTATAATAACTATGATAGGTAAACAAAATGTTAATAATATTTAACTTAGTGAAGCCTAACAAATAGTTAATAGGAATAATTAATTGAGTTATTTATATATTCAACTCTCTAGATGAATTTAATATAAAAAAAAATAAATCTTTTAAAACAATTATGATGACGTTGTACAATTTTTGAAACGTAACTGTTCTTCCTTAGTGTCCATGTTTGATTGATACCTGGAACTAATGAATCCGAATAAGCACTTCTGTAACGCTACTGACATTTGGAATATTAGCATTTTTAATCGTCTAAATTAATTGATGTATTCGTATTATTTTTAGAAATGGTTGTTGCCAGTGTACAACTTCGTCTACTAAATCAAACGTTCAATAAAGACATGCGAAACAGAAACACAAAGAAATATGCAGAAATAGAGGAACCCCTCTGTCATGAGGTAAGCTGACTTAACCATTGTTTATGGTTTATAGTGCAAGGATGATAGATATTATCATATTACCTTCGTGTAATTACTCACTAATGTCACTAATATATTCTCATCAGTCCATAGGTTTTACTACTAACGTCAAAAATAACTATAAAATACGGTTGATTTACAAACAACTACGGTGTTTAGTTTTTATTAATGTCCATAATAGCTAATGTTGATATGAAAAACAATGGTTTGTTTTGTCTGTTTCACGTATATCCCGACATAATGATAAAAGCTGTTGAAATATTGAATCGTTGTACTGAGTCGGTGTTTTTTTCAATGCTGTGTGACATAAATTTAGATTACAATAACCATGACAACGTCTGAAGTCACTATGATGCGTTACATCGTAAATTGTGACTGCAGACTGACAAACTTGTAACTCTGGTTAGAGATATACAGGTCGATAAAGAATATTGGCTAGTTTTATGGTCGTCATCCTGATCTAAGTGGGGAATATTCTATTTCCTTGTTTTTTTTATAACACTCATTAGTATATCAATTGTTTTTCTTGTCACTACCTCGGTTCTCAAAATGAGGAAAAGACTTCAGTTTGATCTCGATTTACCTGTCGACTGTCTCCGATGAAGCAAACGACGCTTGCTATTTTTGTACATTTCAAGGGTCCCCATGTTAATCGTTCTGTCATATTTTGCCTCGTTTTATCGATATTGAGGTCAAAGTTGATATTATATACATTGTATACGGCACATTTGATCAGACTTATGCTATTTTCCTGTGTATAGATGTTGCCTAAGAGTCCATATATTTTAAACACCACAAATAGAAATAGAATATCGGTATTCATTGTTTTAGTAAATTTTCATACTTATAGGCAATATTTTGTTGCCTGAAAGAATCAAAAGAGGTGTTTCACACAGATATAAATTATGAATGACCAAACTGAACAGACGGTTGTGTTACTACCTTTATAAAGTTTGAACAAATGATATCGTAAACATTAAATAATAATAAAGTCAAATAGGTCTGTCTGGAAGACACATAATGCGGGCGTAACCCCAAATCCAAAATCATTGCATCATCTTTAGGATTATGTATGTAAAAAAAATATTTTTGCAGGAACAAATGATAATAAGTAAATATTATGTCATTACCATGTATTTATTTCAATTGTCGTTATTTCAGATGGATGGAATGTTTCTATTTAGCGAATATTCAGGAAATTACTACGGGTGTAAAGTTAAGATGTTAAGGTATGTATAAATGATAAATTGAGATTTGGAAATGTTTATATAAAATGCAAAATCAATGGACTTTATTTTTCACTTTACACTAGAGTATAAGAAAGTTTCTTTATTTCGAAAATATGTACAATGTATTAGACAATGCAAGGGCAGAATGCAGAGATGTTTTAGAGAAACCACAGAATATAATCAAAGAACATTTAGCAGGTCGTATGCAATCTATGATTAATACATATATAACTATTGTTTGGTGTCTTTAAATATAATGGTATAAAGAACACATTTTTTTACACCTTCTTCACCACAAAAATATATCCTCATAAATACATCCGACATATCACCGAGGAATTCAAAGTAAGAAAGTCCCTCAGACCTACTCCTATCCTCGATTCAAGCTGAACCACAGACAGGAACACATGTCTTTTCATGACAGCACGTATCTATGATATCATCTTACCATGTAATACAAGGGACAAATACACATTATGTCGCATTTTTCAGCAAAAAGGGTATATAGCTTAAACTTATTTTTGTCACTCAAAATCAAGGCGAAACAAACAAAAACAGAAACTAAAAGAAATGGTGTTGTTATTATTTTTATTTATGTATGTTATGTCCTCTTTTAGGGGGAAAGCATAGTGATGTCGGTTTGGCTAGATGATTATTAAATATCTAGATATATGCATCGCTAAAGCTAATTTAGATATCGTAATGGTAATAGGTACAATGTGCATTCCCTTCAAAGATTTCAGTATGGTTGTTTTGCCTGTTTGTCATTCCTACAAATCAATACCTTGTCACTTCGTTTGTTCATGGATTTGCATCAATATTTTTAATTGGATTCCTTCACCACTGAGTCCGATGTAATTGAAATTTAAGAGTCCATTTCAAATTTGTCAAAAAATAACTTTTCTACTATACGCTGTTATCGCCAATGAAATGCTATAAGTGACCATATGGTAAAGTCATCGTTCTAATTTAACTGTGATTTAGGTGAACCCGTTTTGTCACTTTGTTTAGCGTGACGAGAGTCCAGACTTATGATACTTTCCTGTGTATAGTTGTTGCCTAAGAGTCCATATGTTTTAAACACCACAAATAGAAATATAATATCGGTATTCATTGTTTTAGTAAATTTTCATACTTATAGGCAATATTTTGTTTCAAAATATTAAGAGTCCATTTCAAATTTGTCAAAAATTAACTTTTCTAGTAAACGCTGTTATCGCTAATGAAAAACTATAAGTGACCGTATGGTATAGTCATCGCTCTTATTTAAATGTGATTTAGGTGAACCCGTCTTGTCACTTTGTTTAGCGTGACGAGACTCGTATTACGCACTAAACTGTTAATACATACGGAAAAGTATAAAAAAAAACTATTACCAAAGGTTGCTGTTGTCTATATATACATGCATCCTTATTTTACTGATATGAATATGTCAAGTATTCAACAAAGCACGTGTTGTGTCAATTAACCTACTTGATCCTTTATGCATATCGTCTAAGATTGAAGTTGCAGTTTAAATGTCAAAAAATGCATAATAAATTGTATTGCATAGCAATCTTGTAATTGATATCTGACTTGCATTGATCTCAAGAAAAAACAAATAGTTATCAAAATATGTTGCAAAATTAATAAATAGCATGCATTCATATAGATCAATCATTTTATATAAATCAACATGTTGATATAGTCTTCTTTATCATATGGTAAACCGCATGCTTATAAATGTGTCACGATCGTCTTTCTTCAATTTCAATTTGAAGTAAATCGTCTTTCTTAACGATATATATGTCAATATCAAGTTTGATAATGTATCCATTATGCTGATTTCAATATCATTTTATACCGCTTGACATGCGCTTTTACTTTAAACATGTTGATATGCTTTATAATCCAACAGAAACCAATACAGTATCATAAACTCCGCATTAAATCAACAATTATTGTCAAAATTTTCGATAATAGCCAAAAACATGAATAATCGTAATAAGAAAACATGTTAAATGTCATTAATGCAATTGAAACTGTTTTTGTTAGCCAATCAAATGTATTAACGGTATGCATAAGTTGTAGACGTAAACATAAGTTTTCCTAAAAAAAGTGTACAAAACAACTTGAGTCTCTACATGTAACTGGATTGGAGGAGTCAAACAGAATAGTCTTGTAACATATTTTTTGAAATGTATGTTCATTCAGTTTTGACTCGAGTGAATGGTATACAGCTTGAGTACAAGTAAACCATGAACATGTTAGTATATCAAGGTCTTGTATATCACAAATATAATTATTAGGTATGAAGCTAACAAAGTTATTCATATCCGGGTTTTCCTATGTCCTGACGTTGTCCTTTGTCCCCAGTGATTTAATGTCTTATTCAAAATGTCATCGTGATCTCACATCCCCTACTTTATGCTATATATATCATAACATATTCACTCTCATGTTAAATATAACACATTTCTTAAACCCCGGAAGCATGCATCCTGAAAATGAATTAATCTGTATTCATATTATGTCGAATAATCTGCAGCTAATATTAACTTTACGTTCAAAATAACCTTTTTTTCTGCTATTGATTTCGCTCTTCTCGAAAAGGTATTTGAATTCCAAACGTTCATACGCACAAACATTGATTTAACACGAAAGAATACATCATAGTTGAAAATGTCACATTACAATACGGAACCAAACCAAATTGATGCAAATTACAGAAATAATTGTGTCGGGAGGTTTCGAGCATATCAGCTTAAATGGGTTTTTTTTTTAAAAAACCCGTTAATCTAGAGCATAAGATGCAATACAAAAAATTAAAACTATTACGATCAAATTTTATAATATCAATCTTCTTTGTATGAAGTTGAAAATATCATATCATGACTGCAGACAATCTTTATTTTAAATAAGATGATGCATGATATGGATAGACAAATTCCTTAAATAATGGGCCTTTATCAGATGACAGAGTTTATAACTAAACATTTTATTTTGTAGATCAGGAAGTATTCGTGTACTAGAAGAGCTAATTTTCAGAGAAACACATGAACTTAGGAAACCGACTTCCATACAAGACCTTATTAAGATGTCCTCGCCGTCTTTTGATTGGAAAGGGGTCAGGGTAATAAATGTAGGTGATTTTGTCGTGGACTATGAAAGTATTAAAGTACAGGTGGATCTACAGAAGTTCCCAGAACTACCCACGAAACCTCTGTTGAGTGTAGCCAGTAAGTGATTTTTTTTTCAATTGTGTACGTCTGAAATTCTGCACCAGCTCCATATTACAATCAACTCTATATTCAAACAAATGTGATTATACAATATTTTCCTTTTTGATGACATGTATTATACCTTCTTATAGCCAAAAAATAGTAAATTTATCACTGTTACAAAAAATCTTTTACTGCTTATGTCTTAAATGTTATCTTTGCTGTAATTGAGACTGGAAAACAAAACAAAATGTATTATGATTTGTAGACGTGTTCAGTGGTGTTTCCCCGTCAACAACACCTATTTCTTTGTCCACTAAGCGGATCCTTGAAAGGCCCAAACTATGGAAGTGGGGTAAATCAACAGTCGCCACCACTACTAGTCGTACGTATCAATAACATTACAATGTACACTATCCTGCTTTACTAGCTACCACTTGTGAGGTAATTTCTTTTCTGAGGAAGGCAAACTGCGATACAAATATTTGATAGTGATCTATTGCGGACGATATTTTGTCAATAGAAACGACGACGGTCAAAATGAAGCGGACTGAGAAAAACAATCAAGAAAAGGGTTAAAGTCTTGGTTACCAGTATCTTTAACGAGTACGCTAGCTAGAGTTTCTAGCAATATATATATAGTCAACCCAAACAGGTTTTTTTATCTCTGTAAATTGAGTCATATGACAAAAGATTCCTATGTGTGCCCTATATTGAATGTTTTTTTCCCTACATACTGTTAATCTTTTAAATTAATAAGGTTGTAAATGTTTGCGTTGGCAGTAAATCACGAATTAGCATGTTTTATAAAGGTTTAATCATATATATTTTTACTGTAATTGTTAATTCTGCTATATGCAAATTCATTGCGAGATTATAAGAGAAGTCATCACTAAATAATTAAATGATTTTAATTATTACTGACTATGAACACAAATCATGCATATAGGTAATTAACGTATGTAGCAAATCTAATCTACAATATGCATATTGTGTGATTAACCGATTATATTAGTGATCACATATCAACTACAAATACAACATTTTATTTACCTTTATCAAATCCAAATTACACTGAATTGATACGTTTGTATAATTGAATCCATTGTCTTTTAATCAAAAGGCAAGTCTGCTGCTAAGCCTACTACCATGACATCTGCAGTTGTACCAGATCACAGAGACAATCCAACAACAAAAGCACAGAACCCGTCTGGAGTTAAAACTACTAAGCAAGACAAATTCGACGAAACGACTTACTCTACCACAACAACAACAAAACCGTCATCTGCTACATCATCAGAGTCACCTACTACGTCACAATACCCAGTCATCGCAGAAATGATGACGTCATCTAAAGATAGGCATGACACAACAACAGGTAGCACCCCAAATAACGATTCACCTAAATATTACATTGTAGCAAGACTGTTACAATGAAACTTAACGACATTACAATGTTAAGTTTTATTTGGTGAAAATTTAATAATTATCACCACTTAAATTGAAAAAGTAGACACTTGGCAGGGGATTTATACAAAAAAATCGATTATAAATTTCTTAACACATTCAAGGAAAAGAAAACATGCATTCGAAAATTAGATTTAGCATAATAATGATAATACTAATAAACTTTATTTATTGAGGATAAAATACATGTTTAGCCAAAGGCTTATCTTCCACATGGTCCTCAGGCAAGTTCTAGCATATATTAAATACATTGAATATCTTTACAACTGCGTCCAGGATTAAATTTATCGCAGCCTGCAACAGCCGAAAAGAACAGTAACATTTTAAAAATGGATTTTCAAAATTGAACGTATGGAACGGCATACTTGAATGAATGAGACATAAAATTGTTTTTGAAGAACGCATTACACATTACTCTGCATTGAAATGAAAAATAACTTACTGTATATAAAAATTTTTATTGAGGATGTTATTTGTCAATTTCCATCAGTGTTATTATGTAGGTATACCGAATTGTTAATAATATTACACGACATGCACTGCTACAGAAAATCTATTTAAATTTAAAATATATGACCATTTGACGAGTATGTGCGAGTTCTAGCATATATGATAACATAAGAGATCACTGCATCAAGTCAATGCCTTTATTCTACTATTTTAGTAGCAACGCAATTCGAAGAAGAAGGTTTTTCCACAACTGTGCACGTGCCACCTACTAGTGGAAGTCCATGTAAGTTTCATGTATCTCATTAAGTAAAAACATCACATTTTTGATAATATTGATATGATAACAGCAGCTATATCTATTTAACTGTCAATTTTGTTTCACAAAATCCAGTCCAGTCTGGGACAAAAGGAAAATACAATTTATTTAATGAATTTTCATTTGTGCACATGCACAATCGAACGGATAAAGCATTACGCATTTATTACGCCATTTCAGCTATTAGCATGTCCAATGTCGGGTCACCAGTTCCTGGAGGATCTGTGGTTGTCCAGTGTGTGCATCATAACCTTGCGAAATGGACTCACCTCACTGTTACGCATGACCGGAAAGGGGCAGGAACTACTAAAGTACTGAACGTCTCCTCGGACGGTAGTCCAGATCCTCCGGACGAAAAGTATACAGACAGACTGATCGTTCAGCTCAAACTAAGCGAAACCTCTGCCAGCGTTTCCCTTAATTTTACTAAAATTGATTGTACCGACGAGGGGTCATACGTCTGCAATGTCTATAGCCAGGAGAGGAATCTGACCGAAAGAGGATATCTATACATAAGAGGTGGGTGTAATTTTAGGCTTTGGTTTGAAACTTTAACAGTGAAAATAAATCTTTCGTGGCATTACATTGTCGGTAAAGTAACCTAGTCTTTGATATATCTATTGGTCTGAATAATTGTATTCGCCTGATAATACCCTACCTTATCATTTTTGTGAAGGTTTAATGTAAACGGACTTGTCCCTCGATGAGGTTTGTTCTACTCTAGTTTCTGGAGATGAGCCATATTTTCTTTCTTTTAGCCTCACCTACTACACCGGAAGTGACAATGCCTTTAGAAATAGTGGACCAACGCGAAATTAAGGAACCAATCAGATGTACAGCCAATGTTGGATACCCCGTCGGGACACTCAAGTGGTTTGTTAAACCCCGAGGTCACACTAAATTTATTCCTCTCGACGTGTCAAACATAAAATATTCTGGAGAATGTGACAATATTGCAACAAGTGTGTTCAAACTGATACCTGCGATGGAAGGGAACGGAACAGTGCTGAAGTGTGCCGTTGTCAATCCGTATTTCCCTCTGGCGAAAAAACTATCGACTACAACGATTTGGAAAGTTATTCCTGGTAACTATATTTTCTATCTTTATATTCCTTTGTTTTATGTTTGTTATTATATCAATATGTTATAAATATTTTTTTAACTCTCGGTTCTTTTATTCTATTTTAGAAATATCCCTCCCCATTTCCATTGTGATTTCAAGTATTTCGTACATCAAAACTGATGAGTATTCGTACGCTACATTTAGTCGAACAATTTTGATGTAAGAGTAGAAAAGTTCATACTAATATAAAACCTCTAAAAAATAAACACCATGCATAATTAATTACTATTTTCTGTTTTGACATAGGTATATAGGTAGTTTTCCGCTCCGTCAACTTTGGCGGTCATGTATTTCATTATCATCGTTGGTATAGGCAAAACATAAATAGTTTTTAACATACCGCTGTCGAATGCATTCACATAGTTAGTTTCTAACATTAATAATAGTCAACATTGTATAATATATGATAGCAATCTGTACTGATAAAGTACAAAACACCCTTACCTAAAGGCACCAAACATTCATGTTTCAAATTATAACATTTCATTGGTAATACCGGAAGCCAAAACATAGTTTACATGAGAATAATCGGTGGTAAGTCCATATTAAAATACAACTTAGACGAGCTTATACATGATATAAAATATTATGTGATAGGTATCTACATTGTATTGTAATTATACAAACTACATATAGTTTCAGATAGCTGAGGTCTTCATTTGAATTTCTATTCATCCTTTATTTCTTATACTTATATTATGACAGGATTTGGCATGTAATATCAGAAGTTATCGTCATATGATTATTTTTTCTTTGTTTTCTTACCAAATACTCTTTTTATTGGTCGAAAAATTCATTTCATTGTGATATGAAAGAAAGAAAAATAAGCCATGTTACCAATGCATACAGTGTGCAAAAAATGTCTGTTCATACCCCGATGCAAATTTAAATAAATCAACCTCAATGCTTAAATAAATGGTTTAGCTAAAACTGTTTCATATATGCTTATGTTATATGTATAGGGAAGAAAGCCGGTTAAATAAACTACATATCATTCAATTAACATATCTTAAATCAGCTTTACATATTTTAGGTCAAAGATAATCACAAACAGATATCTAGAATCTGTAGTCGTAGTGAAGTAGTGTATTAAAATAATGTGCTTCACTGAGGATATGGATATGTAGAAATTCACACGAATTTGACATTTACATAGGACAGTTAGTATTTGTATCGTGTACTTCTGTCAAATAATAACTAACGGTTCAACACATATTATTAGATTTTCCTGAAAATTAAGCGTTTGCAGGTATAGCAGAATATGATGAATTTGTGGCAAGCTATAAGTTTCCACCTTACGGATTTTCAAGGACTTGATACCTATCAAACGTTTCTTATAAACGATATTCGATTTATATTACATTGGCTAAATGTAGTTTTACCGATGTTTTCAATCATTTTAGGATAGTAATAACTTGTTGATAGATATTAGTTATATATTTCGAGAAGGCTGAACAGTTAATAAAATATGATTTACAAAAGAATTAATATAAAGATTGATAAGACTACGTTTTGATAACTACCTTTTCAATCCAGAGTTTTTGTTATCATTCATATGAGTTTATATTACGAAGTTATTGCGTATTTTAAAGAAGTCATTTATACTTTATGATATAAATTGAGTTGAAGGCATCCATAAGAGACATATAAAATATGAATTTGTACTGTTAGCATTGTCTAATAGACATCTATCGGAGGTAATGTATGACGCTTTTAAGACACTATCATTCATTTTATTTCGATGTTTTAACGTTACCGTATGTCGGATTTAAAGATTTGTTCATATATAACGTTGATATCACGTTTGGGAAATTATCCATCAACATCAGACAAAACATTACTTGTTTATAAATGTATCTGGATTACATGTGCTGAGCAGGTCATTTATTTCTACATGGTATAGTGTGTTAGGCATCCAGCTGATGTGAATAATACATCACTGTCAGATTGGTGCGGTTTTCACATTGGACTTTAATTTGTGTTACATAAAACAAAGTAACAAAATGTATTGATGGTTTAGTATTAATATATCGTAAAAGTGAGCATCCAACAGGAAAGTAATGTTACAAATCGGATTAAAGTATATTATTAATATTTATTATATCTAGAGCTGTCATGTGCTACCTGATTAATTATGCCTTATTAAGTAAGACTGTTTAATATACATATGAAGCTATTCCTTATTATATTATTTCATATAATGTTGAATGCTTGGGTTGATAAGACTAATGGGATACAATATAACACAATTTGACAACAACAATTTGGTTACACTTTAAGGTATCTTTATCTATCCAAGTCTTTTTACAAAAAGGATAACTAACGACACCTTTGTGTTGACGCATTCAGCAAGTCGTACACATTTGAGGCCAGAAACACAATTACCGGTAAAATGGTACATACTTTAGAAAAATTGTTGTACACAATACCGGTACTATGTTAAAAAACTGTCATATTGTTCTGTATAATTCAAATTCCATATCTGTATGGTTCCTAAAAAAAATGTGTTAATACTTTCAATATATTAACATTGAATTCGATTAAAAAGTCAGATAGACTTTATTCAAAGTATTGGTGTGCACGTGGCATAAAGCAATTTTATAATAGTGACAATTGTGGCTGTAAAAGGTCATCTTCCATTATGATTAAAACTCCTGACCCCTAGTAACTTGCATTTTTAGCAGGCTCGCTTAGATGGTTCATTGCACGTGCGTTTCTTGTACATTACGCATTATGAATTGATGGTCTCGAAAACAAATACAATCAGGATAATATAGGCGGGATTTAATGGATATATTGACTCCTTCTTATAAAATTTTCTCATCTATTAAGCCGTCAACTCAATTCAGGAACAAAAGTGGATAGAATATCAAGGCACCACTCTTTTCAATCACCCCTGTCGATGCTCTACTTGTTTGAACAGTAATTGAGACTATCTGGATTTCCAACTGTTTAGTCCCTCGCATTATCGGTAGGTCTTAGGTGGACGAAATAGCTGTGAGATGCAGTGTAATATATTTTTTGACATAGTGTGTCTATTGCCAAATTGTAAAGGTACAATCACCAGAGCGTGTATTACATTCCTTTTCATAAATGTATATTTAAACAATTTAACAATCACATTTTGATATCTCAAATACCTTGTATATTTTGAAGCAGTTAATTGGATCTCTAACAGCCTATTTCAAAATATTGTAACTAGAATATCGCAAATACATTGTAAATGTTATAACAGCTTATAAGTCGTCTAGCTATATATTTTGATGAATCGTACGTTTGATATTAAGAATATCTCTTGCTTCGTATATTTTCGAGGTTATTGTATAGGCCCCAGATTGTAATACAGCTCTGCTTGACTGATGGGACATGATTTACATGTTGTGTGTTCCCCAGATCTAATCCATCCTATACATAACAGACACTGTCCTCTTTGTATGTGTGCTTGAACAGAATCTCACGTTTGCTTCTAGCTAGACACGCCTCTTAGGTTATCCTTTAGCCGACAACCCAACTCTGATTTATAATTACAGCGAACATCATTAACATATTTATGCCATCTCGTGTTTAATCATTCCAGAATTATTTATTGTTCTCATGCTTTACCTTCGCTGAGTTAACTAGCATGAATTGCGCCTTTGTAGTGAAATTCAAATCAAATTGTTTATGTTTTGTTAAACTAACGAAAATACCAGTACAATGAAATGAAAAGAAAAAACATCATTGAATAGATTTTTGACATACGTGGTTAGATATCTGTCAATATCACTTTGATCTCTTACTGAGGGAGTTTATTCATTTTTCAAATCTTGTGCAATATGTATACAACGAAAGATTAATTCATGTACAAACTCATTGGTTTAACCACACTGTTATGTAGCAATCAAACCATCAATTAATCAAACATTTCTATTGTAATTAATTGCTTCTTCATAGTAAGACGCAAGGAGAATGTTATGTCAGTAGTTTACAAAACAAATTCCCCCTCAAAACCGCATTTCTGTGTAAATGTCTTCTTAAGATCCTGTACTGTTATATGTTTATATCGATTTGCCTATTTTTGAGTTGGGCCTCGTCACAATTTCGTTTGATTTGGTTTATCGCTCGATTCATCCCTTCATTTTTCCTTTCAACATTTCCTTTCTAAATTTGTCTTTGGATATTAATCATAGCAAATTACTTTCTTGTCTTTTCTTCTTCGAGTTCAATGGGATCGTATATAAAACATACATATTAATTATCAAAATGACCTAGACACCCAGAAAAACATAAATCATATCAAAACCTCGTTTCTTGCCTTTCAAGCACTTTTTGCATGTTACCTCCATGTGACAAACATGTGGTTTACCAGGCCGAATCGCACCTTTATAGTTCAAATCAAACGGTTTTTGTTTTGTTTAAGGCAAGGAAAAAAACTCTTGAATTAAAAACACATGATTGAAAAGATTTCTGTCAAACATGGATAAATGTCTGTCAATATTACTTTGATCTCTAACTGCAGCAGTTTATTCATCATTCAAATGTCATGCAATATATATATAAAGAATATCAAATCATTTACATAATAACTTCTATAACACAATTCAAGATCCAACTGTTGACATAAAGCAGTTATCCATCACTTAAATCAAACAGTTCTATTGTAATGATTTATATCTAATACAGACACACGTTATCAGATTGTTGATAGTCAATTTAATTGGATTACCTCAAATCAGAATAGATCAATATCCTATAGTAATATAAATCCTATTTTTATTTTGCAAAAGTTATTTCATGAGGCGATCTATTTTTCTAACCGGTTTACTTATTTTAGTGATTTATATATAAAGAGTTATGCAACGCAATTTATCAGGAACTGTCACACTCACTAATGTCTCATTACACTAAAGTGTACAATATCTGCTAGAGGTCACACTTACCTGAATATCACTAAAGTATACAATAATAACCAGGAGTCTGAAA